CTTATGTTGTGGAAATAGTAATGTCTCGAAGAAACACGAGAAATTTTATGTTCAGTGTATTTCTGCAAAGTAAATAAATTTATCGTATATCTGTCTCAGCATCGGAGCCACTTAATCCACACCATAGAATCCCTTAATGCTATTATTCTGCAAACCACCAACTTTTGTGGGCACGAGTCGCCATTGCTTCGAGCACATTTCAAACTACATTGCAATTGGAGCGACACCGCCTATAAAGTTGAGCGAGAAATTCCAAAACTACTTTTTCTTATTTTTCCATGTTTCGGAAATATAGAGTCCGTCGAAAATGGAACCACTTTCTTTACAGTTCTTCCCTACATCTATTAAAAAATTAAAGAAATATTTTTGAGCTGTTTCTGAGAAACTATTGTTTAAAATTTAAAAACTGGCTAAGTTTGACGCGTTTGATTTTAAATTACGCAAAATAATACTCTTTTTTTAATTGAACATCATCTTATTTGAAGATGTTTCTGATGAGCACATTTAAGTTAAAACTAGTGGTGCTAACACAGCACGTACTTTCTCGCCTTTAGTAATAGATATGTAATACTTTTTATACTAGTTATGTGATTCACTTATTTAAATAAATTATACAAATGAATGAATGTTAAATCACTTGAAATTTTAACTATTCCTTTTCCTCTACATAAAGCACCTTCGACATTTTTAAAACCAAAAATAACTCCAAAGTTTTTTTAAATTTTAAAATTAAGGTTAAATTTTGTTGTTTGGTAGAACCGATGAAGAACATTTATGCGAATGGTGCAGGTTTCACTTTCGTTGAAAACCCTAATGTTTCGAAAGTTGCAAAAATTCAAAACTATTTCTACATTCTAATTTCCATCCATCAAAATTTATATGTAATTATAGCCATCAAATATCAGCTTTGCTGTAAATCTGGTTAATATTAAAGGTAAGATTTTCTAGGAGTGAGAATATTTCCATTGCTCACAGTACACCAAGGGAAATAAGAACTTGCCGCTTGATCTAAGTCAAATTAATTTTTTTTTTTTTGCTTTACCGAACATTGGTTGTCTCATAATGACCTAAACACATTCCAAATTCCTAGTTTTTACCTAGCAGGATCGTACTGTAGAGCGAGGGAAACAAATATCGCCCCTGCTTACGAAGGTTCGTGTATTTACGTAAGAAATGATATTGATTATATCTTCTTGTCAGAATTCAATTTATATACAGTTGAAATTTTTTTTGAAATAACAGTCGTACATCTTACAACGCTCAAAACTATTGTACTTTGCATCTACAGATCTCCAACAAAGCGAGCTTTAGATCATTTCATTTTCTTAGAAAATCTAGAGATAACTCTGAACAAAATTAGTAATCTATCTTTTAAATTCTTTGTTATATGTGGAAATTTCAATCTTGATTTTCTGAGTGAATCCCACGAAAAGGTGTAGTTTTTTTCCATTTACTGCATTATTTTAGTTTAGATATTACAGTAAATGTACCTCCTTGGAATACATTTAAATCACAAAAAGCAATAGATTAAATTATAATTAACAAAACCACAACTAGATATGAAATAAAAACTACTAATATCGGTTACAGAGTGACCACGATGCATAAATTCTTACAATTACTAATAACATGAACACTGACACAATTAATAATACACACGTGTTCAGAACATTTACTTAGGTTAACATAAAAGTATTTACAAAAAACTTGCTGAAGGAATCATGGGACGCAGTTTATAATGCTGTTGACACAAATAAAAAATATAATATATTTTGCTCGAAACTTTCATTTCACTTTAACGAGTGCTTTCCTCTCTAAAAGAGAAACATTTCACGGAAAAATAATACTTGGATCACACAAGGAATTAGAAAATCGTGAAAAGACAAACGTACGCTTTTCTTTATTTCTAAACATTATATCACCACGTTCCCATGTCTATTTTCGAGAATTCAAAATTTTTTTAAGGAAAGTAATAGTTCAGGCAATAATAATCACAAATAATCAAGATATTTTGAATTATAGTAACAAAACTACAGGAATTTCAATTACTTCAATAGTTGGTACATCCAATCAGGTAGTAGTTGGAATATCGTACAAAATATGATCACATATGATACTTAGTCAATGTTGTTTTAAAGGATAATGAAAGAAAAGCAAGTAATCAGGAAAAAGTGGCAAATCTCGTCAACCAACACTTTTCTAGAATAGTGGCTGAACTCACAAAGAGACAAAACCACGATTTCATAAGTTTCAAATTGGTTTTGTAATAACAAATTAATAGTTAATGAAGGAAAAACAGTTTCAATGCGTTTTTGCATTTTCAATCAGCAATCGCACACTTCATTGAAAATACACAGTAAGCAAGCTGATGAAATAGTAACAAAACTAGGTCTCTCAATTCAGTCAAACCTCAACCGGAAGAATATAACAGAATTAAACACTAAATTAAGGTCATTATGTTACACATTCATAATTCTTTCAAATTTTGTCAGCCTTCTTGCAGCTTGTTGCTTGTATTTTGCAAATGCGCATTCCCGCCAGAGATATGGCATAATATTGTGGGGAAGCTCATCAGGTAGTACTCAGACCTTTAGATTGCAAAAGAAAATTATTCGAATAATGAAAAAATGCCTCCGCGTGATCCCTGAAGCCTCTCTTCATTGAGCTTGAAATATTACCATTACCTTGCCTATTTATTTACAAATCTGTATTATATGTGAAAACTGACTTACTTAACGCTGGGAACATATTTTCATGCAATACTGATATTTATAATTACAACGCACGTCGTATAAATCACATTCATCATGTGTGAGTATCAACAGCTCATTATCAGAACTTCACATAAAATACATGTACTTTACTTTACAACTCATTTCCAGATGAAATTAAATAATTGAAGTCGGTCCACAAATTTCAGTTAAAAGTAAAATATTTTCTGTTGCATAACTGTTTCTATACAATTAGAGACTATACTGATCAACAAAAAAATTTATTTAACAAAACAGTGATATATAATGAATTAGTTAACGTTTGTATGAAATAATAAAAAAAGACTTAAGATGGTTGTAACCAATGATGTATTTCAGCTTCCGGTTCAATGTCCCCCATCTCGATCAAGTTTTTGTCCAGTTTTCCTGATTTATTGCGCAAATGCTAAGATGACCCCTTGTTTTGCTTCTGGGCGTAAATGTAGCTTCATTATGCGCACGTTTTGTTGAACTCTTCAATTGCTTGTAGTGGTAGGAGTAGAGGTAAGGGCGAGTTACTATTTTGTTAGCAATGCAGAAAAATCTGCAGTTTGCTTATCGTTGCAAATACGTTTTCTATAACTCGGGTACGAAAATGTCTAGTTTTTCAAACGTTGCTAATTTCGCGCTTTTTTTATTTATATTTAACTTTTATTCATCTGTCAACTATATATACTTGAAATGATGGGAAGGAATTCTGTAACTCAAGAAAACGTGCGCAGGTGATCTTTTCCCCCAAACGTCACAAACAGTGTTTACTGTTAAAACTAAAATAAATCTAAATTGCTCAACTGAATGAAGCGCGTTACGCGCACGGTGTTGTCGACTTGCGCGTTTCCTTCCCGTTCATCTAAAAAGCGCGCGAACGTCTGCCTTCGGAATAATGGCTTGTTATTTTGCAAAATTGTTACGTTTACAATTTTTCAACATTTAAGAATTAATGGCGGGAAGTACATTATACTCAAAATACTGTAAACATATAATAATTTTGTATTATATATTTTTATTCGAACAATTTATTGACAGTTGCAGTAAATTAGTAATGAACACTCTTAGAATTTCTGAACAATAACTATTGTAACATTTTCTAATATAAAATGATATCAAAAATATGTCTAACACAATAAAATGAAATTTCTTGTAAAAACGACTAATTTTTCACACAAATCATGAAACAATAAACCCCTAGTTGGCCAAAGAATAAAACTTGCGAAGGAAAACAGACAATTAACTGGCGTCGATGGACATTTGAAGTATTTAAGATACGAATTTCAAAACCAAGTATTTAATTACTGCCATCCCTGATCATTGCAAATCGTACAGCATTTGGTGCAAAACGTAAATATTTTTAAGCACATATCAATACAAATTTGGCAATTGAGGGATCTAGTTTCAAAACCCGACTTTTCCACCTTCGATTAAAAATGAGATTTTGGTTTCAATAGGGATTCGTTGCAATTATGCGTCGTTCTATAAAATGAGTTGTAACAAAACGCGTTTTTTGTTCACTCCAGGGGGCTTCATAATAATGTGTTTTTTCACGCAAAGTACCTGAAAAGCACTGAAATTTTCGAAAAATTATACATGGCTTTATTTTAAAATCTGTCTTATGGAACAGATTTTATTCAGAAAAAATAGCATAACTTTAATACTTTAGTTGCAGGAAGACGAAAAAATTCGTCGGGAATTGTATATGCAGCCAGAAAACAAAATAATCACCTCGTTACAAAACGTCGAAACATATTTATGAAGCATTTCTTTTAAATATTGCATATTGTACACTTTATCGTGTTATTTTTGGTTTGTTACTGTTAAAAAATTATTTCTCAACACCTCGCTCTCCATGCAATATGACGGCCAGCGTCTTGTCTGGCTTTTCAGTGTCCATGCTGTGGCCACGGGTTCGTGACGCAAACTGGTGTTGCGCAGAACGAGCAAAAATCGGTGCGCCGGAGGAACTACCCATGTATTTCCAGCATGGGGGAAAAGAAGTGAAACCTTGCTCGTCCTAATGTCATGACCATGAGCTGCCACTGCTTCAAACACAAGTATTTCTATAAAATTAATAAAACGACTAATAACTATTAGTATATTAAAATGCAAACGATAAACACTAAAAAACCAAGAAAAGCGTAGGAATATTATTTTTTTCTAAGGTATTTAGTTGATTCGTAGCCGGCCTGTTGGAATCGATTCCAGCAAGAATCGGAAGCAAAGGAATCGAATACCGATTCCGTAGGAATCGAAAGAAAAGAATCGATTTACGAATCGAATCGGTAGAATCGGAACTTCTCTAGGCATTTCTGATGTAAACACAAACGTTTTTCGTGATTGTATGTGACGTATACTTGACATTTTAGTGATCTGCAGTTGATCAATGATATTATTCCATTATTGGTGTAATTTATCACCACATTGGTGAAGGTGTGAGAAATACGGACGTATTTCATTTCAGTGATATCGTGGTATAATCAATTGGACCTTCCTGAAGTTTGCACTCTGAAAGTATGAAAATTTTGATTTATTTGTTCCTCAAATTACATGATACTACACAGTAAAATATCAAAGTAATTTTAAATTTGTCAACTATAATATTCGTCAACAATTATTAAACTCGTGTTAAGTGTTTTCTAAACGATTTGTTGGGAGTGAATTGCCATTAATTGTGTTTTGATAATTTAGTTTCAAGTTATCATTCGTAATTATGATTGACATGAAAGTGGTGTGTCATACGAAATATTAATCTTGAATTTATATTGTGTGAAAGAAATTGCTTTATTAGCAAATGCATTTGTTGAGATATCATGTTATATACCATGAGAGCTTTTTGAGAAATTAAAATGTAGTGAATTGAAAAGGACAATCTACTTGCTAAAATTAAAAATTATCTCGTGGAAATACATAAAATATTTTGATAAATTTTATCATATTTGTTGCTGATAGACCTCATTTCTTGATACATTTAGTTCTGATTTTACTTTGTATTAAAAATGATTCATATTTTCATTTAATGAAAGGATTTAAATATTAAAGTTAATTTACTGATCAGTGCTTTTGTGTGTGTGTGTGTATTGAACATTTTCATTTAAGACAGGTATTTTTGTTGTAGATTTCTGATCATGCATTCTGAGCAACAATTTTGTCTTCGATGGAACGACCACCAAAGTACTTTGGTGGCTATTTTTGAAGCATTACTGGACAGTAATACATTAGTTGATTGCACTTTAGCAGCTGAAGGACAATGTTTGAGAGCTCATAAAGTAGTTTTGTCTGCCTGCAGCCCGTATTTCCAGGTACAGTTAACAGATTAATTTTATGACAAAGTTGTTGATGAGAGATATGGAAAGAAAATATTGTTATAAAATACCTTTCTCTTGAATTGGCAACTTGAATAATTTGATCAAAACTAATCATAAATTATTTATTTCATCTCCGGATTTAAAATTTAAGGGAAAAGTAGTGTTGGTTATGATTGAAACCTGGCTGTTCTCTTTATTTGTCTTGCTGTGTAGTTATTATTGCTCTTTGCATAATGTTTTCTTTGTGTAGTTGTAAATCTTAAAATGAATGACTGCTCTCTATCATCTTTATAAATGAATGAATATAATGAAGACTCCTAATTTTGCAGTACTGAAGAAAACTAATTTATTCCCCTTAGCCTTTATATTCAGAAATAGATCATATTTTAGTGAATAATAATGAAGGTTAAAGTTACGTATACGGTACACCCTTAGAGAAGCGTGGCGACGGGGCTTAAGCCCTAATTACTGTACGTGATCTAATAGAAATGAGTAAAACTTACGAATAGATGTTCATGGTTTGCCCTTCATATGCTTGGCTCCCACCGCATTGTAACGCCAATTTACTTTCAAAGGCAAGTTTTCTTGCTTCGCTCACCCAGATCCAAGTCAAGGCGAAGCTCGGGCCTTCGGCTCTCGCGTTCACTATAAACATCCTCGAGTCTATCCAATTACATAATTACCAATTCACTTTTATAAGACATCACTTTTCAAGAAAGCTTCCAGAATTCTAACTGCCTAGTTAACGCCGGAACGGCACGAAGTGCCGGTTTAAACAACTTCCTTAGGTTGTATCATATACATTTCAGCCGAAATGAAATATTCTGGCTTAGTTCCAAAAGGTTATTCAATAGTCAATATGTTGAAGAAAATGAAATTGTATGTGTTTATTTATCAATAAATCGAGAAATCGTATCAATTGCATCCCCTTGTTAGATTAATGCAATTTTCTGATGTTTTATGCAGTTGTTACTGAGCCAACACACAGACAAACATCCAATTGTTATCCTAAAAGATGTGAAATTTGAAGAACTAAAGGCAATGGTGGAATACATGTATCGTGGGGAGGTTAACATTCCACAAGATCAACTGGGGCCACTGTTGAAAGCAGCAGAATCTCTTCAGATCCGAGGCCTTGGTGGGGCCAGCAACAAGGAAACAAGTGGTGAGTAACTGGGTGCATTGAAAGTAGAAAGGTTTTTTAAAATTATCAATGTCACAAAGATTGAAATTGAATAGTCACTTTTCAAAGTGTGACTGAATATTTTGCAATATGTGTGAAATGACAAAAATCTTAAACTTGTTTATGAAAAATTCTCCCCTTCATATGGTCTTCACAGATTAGAATAATTACTACTCTTAAAAGAATATGCTCCCAAATGATTGCATTGTTTAAATGGAGATTGAAAGTCTTAAACACTCTAAAATCTCTGACTTCTACAAATAACAGACTGATAAGAACTATCTAGAATGCTACTTTTACATTGTGGGAGCTTTTAGAACCAGGCTCTGGCAAGTGTGTGGGCAAAGGTGTTTGAGAAAATACCAACTTTTAAGTACCCTTTTTGTGATTAATAATAATAATAGTAATAGTAATAATAATAGTAATAATAACAATAATAGTAATAGTAATAATATATTTGTCATAAATACAGCATACGCCATGTATGACAAGTCAGGATATGTATGTAATCATACATTGCATAATACAGTTATTTTAAAAAATTAAATGCAGGACATAAATTAAAATCAATTCAATTCTTGTACTAAATACAATATAGTGGAGTGCTAATTAATTTTATGGATGGTAGTGTAAGAAGACTAAAATTAAAAATCAATAATAATAATAATAATAATAATAATAATAATAATAATAATAATAATAATAATAATAATAAAGAAAGGAAAAAAGAGAAAAAAGTCTTCATACATTCGTGCCTGGGCTGGGTCCGTCCATAATATACTACAGCCAGTTTAGGGGGGGGGGGTCAAAATATGCAACAGAAACTGCAAAAATTATTAGTAGTTTATATTGATGTAGATACATGTTTATGATGTTTATATTCTTTTGTACTGTAGAATGTATGGTTTAACAGGAAAGCTTTCAGTTTATTTTTAAATGTGTGTATCGAGTTTAAGTTTTTAAATTCACTAGGGAGTTTGTTAGATATTGTAATGCCTACAAGGGTACTTTTTTGAAAGAGTGAAGTTTCACTGTATGAGACATGCAGATTTATTTTTTGTCTAGTATCATAGTTATGAACTACTGTTTTAAAGTAACAGAATCCTTGTTTCCTGTCAGTGTCTTCTTTGTAAGATTAATATTTCAAATATGTAGATGCATGGGAGTGGTAATATTTGTAATATTTTGAACTGTGGTTTTCAAAACTAATGCATTGCAGATGAGAGAATGATAATGGATAATGTACTAAAGGGATACACATCACCACCTTAAAAATTAATATTAAACATTTTCTTCTTCTCTCATTTCATATCTTAAGTGGTTTAAAACATTAATTTTAATGAAATCTTATTTATTTTTTTCAAAGCAAAATTTCATTGATTTATTGACCCATACGTACGTTCCGTGTATTTGAATTATTTTTGTTTTTAATTCTTGTATCCAGGAAAGTCTGATAAATCTGTTCCATTTCACAAAGAAGGAGAGAAGAAGCGATTGCCCCAACAATCAGGATCAATTAGTCCTCCTCCACGCCCTCTTTCATCAGGTGCAGTGGGTGATCAGCCAAGGAGCAATCAGACTGCTGCCACTAGGTAGGTGCAGTTGCTAATATGATAGTAGGGAGACAATGTAACTGAATATTAGAAAATGGGATCCATGTACTAAGATATTGAAGATTTTTTTAAATGTCTAGTACTTGTCTTTTGCCAGTATTGTAGTAAGATATTAATTAATATTTGCATGATCAAAAAAGATTTCACATACTTCTAATGGCTTTGTCTTGTTACTGCTATGTCATAAACATTATGAGTGTGGAGGAATACAAAATAGGAGGGGAAACTCATGTAGTACCATCTATGATAAGGTACAGACGAAAATCAACGGCATTGCACTCTGTGACTAGAACAGATACTTCTTAACCGTTTAAGCAGCTGGCTCAGGTGCACGGTACTGAATCTACTCTTCAGACATCCAATGTAGATAATCTTCATAATATCCCATACTCCACTATTTGCACACCTGTTTAAAAAACTAACAAAATAATTTGAGTAGGGGAGAATCAGTTGACAACTATAAAAAATAACCTTGTTGCATATGGTATTCATAAAATATATTCCCAAAACAATCTTATTTGTTCATAAAACAATACAATACAGATTCTCAAAAATAAACTAGTATTGTAGACCATCACATTACTCTTTAAACAACTCTTAACATACAAATCTATATATCCATGTTAATACAATTATAATTTTATCTCTACAAGTTATAATACAGGACATAAATCCATTTTATATGCAGGTACAATTGGGATAAATGTTTTTATATCAACAAAATGAAATGACTTGCATGGTGTATCAGATGTAGTTTGTCTTTAGTCACAGCTTTTGGCATGACTATGAAACTAATAATACTCAACATAATACTAAATACTAAAAAGTATGATTACTAAACATAATCATACTAAGAATAGATTGTCATAAAGTGCAAATATTTGATTCCTCCATTTCAGCTCAGGGCCTTCTCTTTATCCAAACTATATTAAGTGAGCTATGGAATCAAACACTGCATTAATGACAATTTACTTGCAAGGAAAGTGTAATCTAATTGCATTTTCACACTTTTTGATAATCCATGTTCAATAGTTTAAAAAATGATCATTTAATCAAATCTAGCATTTATTTATTCAGACCTCATAATCCATTATGCTCTTCCAAATCTGAAGTTAAGTTTGAAAAAGCTGCAAATCCCAATAGGAATATTATTTGTTAATTTAAAAATTTATGTTCTTTCTTCTAACTTGTCACATTTTTATTCAAACCATACCAAACAATCAGTTGGAGGGGAAATAAACAAGTAAGATTTGAAAGCTTAAATTCAAGAAGGAGGACTGTAAAGTACACATTTGTTGTGGAAAGTTAATGACAATTTTTGTATAAAAGAAAACATATTTTTTGGGCTTAGAATACTACCATTGTTTTGCCTTTTTATTTCGCAATCGGTGGTATTCCTCAAAACTGACTCACTGAAGGACATCTTCATGCAATTCAGATCTCTTCTTCTCCATGTGTTTGGATTCTAAACCTCAGGGACCACTGAACCAGAGCCACTTTGACACCTTAAATGAAAGCATTCATTTTAAAAATCGATTGCTGAAACAACACAAACAAATTTCTCAAGCATTATATATTAAGGATGTGAGACTCTGCGCATTACTTTTATAAAACAGTGAGATAAAGCTCTTAAGTTGTCTGAAATGTAGGACAATGCACAAAATGGCACAGTAATAGATGGAATTGAATCGCTTTACAAGCAAAACCTAATACACTTAATAACAATAATTAGTTGTTTCAGTTGGGTTTATAAATGACAAATGCAATTATTTTATAAATTTGATCAAACAATCAAGTGCAGTATGCAATAATTTATTTCACGTTCAACTACAGTAACTTGTTATCATAACTCAAAATATTTACTCACCTTGGGAAACCTGAAGAAACTATTTTGTCTTCATCCTGCTGTGTGGAAGAATTGAGCCATTTCATATTGTGCCATTTTGTGAATTGTCAACAGCATTGGCACATCTTGGAGTCCAATATCTCGCCATTATGATCTTCAACACTTGATAACACAGTACACTGCCAAACATTGCTCAAACAAAATATTACAAACACGTTGCCATGAGCAACACCCTTTCCACAAAAAAGAAATGAAATGAGTGGTAGAAATTTCATAAGCTCACACCTCTATCTGACGAGCAAATTACCGAACAAGCATTTTAAGTACCTTAAAATAGATGCTGCTACACGGATGGCGGATGCTGCTGAATCCTCTAGTCCATGCTCTCAAACAGCAAGGGTTTCCCCTCCTGTAATATATTCCTCCATGTTACAAGTTTAATGATTAATTATTAATGAATCTTCGTATATACCCTTTTTTTTCAAAAAGCAGTGTTCTTGTTTGGTTAAGGATGTGCAAGATTTTCTTTTGAGATACTTTTAAATTGTTTTCATTTATTTTATGAATAGTATTAGGGAGGGGGGAGGTATGCATATATTTATTTATTGTAAACTAGTGAACGTATTGTGTTCCATTTATTTCGAAATGTTAAGTTTCACTGGAATTCACAGACAATTCTGAATCTTTTATAATGTCCATTTACATAAATCACATATTGAGAAGGAATTTGTTTTTAATGAAATTTTCCTCTGAATATTCAAAATGTATTAAAAACTATACATCCCATTCTTAAAACATTAGTTGTTCTACCACATCCATGTCGTGACAGAAACTATGCTTTACTTGCAGCACTATAAACTGCTTAAGTGAATTGCAGCTCTGAATTGAGTAGTCTTGTGTTTTACACACTTCATATATCATCATTAAAGTTTTTGTAATATTTGCAATATTATAATATATTTGGTATGATAAAATATCATATTCTTGTATTAGCTTTTAAAATTTGAATTGACTTTTCAATCTATTTAACATCTTAGTATGTATTTTTAGTGTCATATTTCTTTGGGGTTCCAAGTTTCAAAAATGTTAAGAATGTGTTAGATTCTGTTAGTTTTTTTATATTATTGGAAAAGATCGTAAACTTTATTGAATTTAAATCTTTGCAGGAGGGGAAGTGTTTCTCCCACACCACGAAAGCGTTCAAGACCTCTTCGCACTACTGATGGAACTGATGCTCATAGTTCCAATGAACCTTGTGATCCATCTTCTCAAAGCCATCCTTCCCTAGTTCCTGATACATCCTCTATACCTAATCTTCCTTCTCTTTCAGCACTGAACCAAAGCACGGTTTCTGCAAGCAATTCAGATTGGACCGATATGAACACAGGAAAGGCATCTTCTCTCCCAACATCTTCATCAGTAGAAAGCATTCCACCACTGGCCCCATTGTCATCATCATTCAGTGATTCTATAGGAGAATCTTCAGGGAACAGAAAGTGGCCCGAGATAAGACTGAAGGGAACTTCATCCCCTGCGCACACAAATCCTTTATCAGAAGCAGCAGCTGGAGATTCGCAGAAATTGCTTCCCGTTTCAGAGATCCTTCTGGTTCCAAAGACAGAATATGTGGAGGTGGAGGATGATTCTCTGCCCCAGGCGATGTTGGAGGATGTTCACGACATGGATGTTAGTGGACCCTCCCACGCAGATGGAAGTGGAGGCAGTGCAGGTGAGGAAAGGAGAACACAAGTGTTTACACTTGTTTAGAATAGGTCGAGCGCAAATGAACACAAAATAATCCTCCCTGCATCAGAAAATAACACAACTAAGGAGCTCCAAAAAATGTTGTTTTTTTCTCAACACAATACAGAATAACGCGTTAAAGATAAGGACATAAGTATCCAATTAAATAAATAGTTATTACTTATCAATAATTAATTTATTTGTTTACATTGGTGACAAAGGTGGCATTCCATGGCTACAAAGAAAGAAAGATAGATGTTAGCACTTACAAACAATCTTATGATATGTATGAAAATACATCATTTTCTCACAAGTAATTGTAGACATACTGTGTTTTCCAACTGTGTTACTGTGTTTCTTGGCACATCACTTACTGGAAAAAAGAAAAAAGAAAAAAACAACAACAACAACGTTTTGTGGATTAAGTAGTGGTACACATCTTTTGCCATTTAACACATCTATCTAGCAACAGACAAACCACTTCATTCTTCTCTGCGTTAATGGCTTTCTACATAGCAGAAAATATGTTATTGCTTTTTTGGATGCAACCTGAAATAATGTAGTGTGTTTTGAAACTACCTGACTGCCATTTCAATTTGGAATGATTGTGGATTGTAAGTTTTGTTCAAAAGTTGTAATTTTGAAATTCAAATGTAAGTTTTGTTTTATAAGTTAAAGGAAGTAGCATATACCAAGACAGTTACTATAATTGGATAAATATTAAGTTTTTGTGGTAGAGGGAGAACTGTACTGATGGTTTTTGTTACCTTTTGTGCTTATGTTTTGCAGCGTTTGTACCGTGGCTAGAAAACCTTGAAGGAATGGTAGATGAAGCATCAGGACAAGACATGGCTGCTGCCTATCGAGCCTCCCAAGGTGAGCATCACTTTTTCTTCTGTTTAAACTGTCATCTTTGTTTCTCATTCTTTTTATTTAATAAAGGTTGGTATTGCTGCATGAGATATCATTTGCTCAAAAGTTATTAAAAAAACAAAAAAAAACATTTAGTATGTGTGATTTTGATTTCAGTTAATATAATTTTTTCCTGTTTGTAATGCTTTCAGACAGTCACTAGAATACTTTTGAAAGGTTTGATAATGATTGTCTATTCTGCAAACAAAATCGAGATTTGAAACCAATGTAAACTGGGTACCTGCAGGGTAGTATTAACTTGAAGAGATTATATTATTGTGGGCTTTTAATAATTTTATCACTACTTAAATATAAGAATTGTTTTCGATAGTTTCAATAATAAGCTCTTTTAGAAGCTAAAGCGTTGTTCTATTCATTCAAAAAATATCTTGATTAAATTTAAATTTTAAATAATTAAAATACTTTGGAGTGCTAATAATTCACACCTCAAAATTTGGAATCGTCAATAATCCAATGCGCAAAATGAGAAACAATTTCATAAAAATTAGCCCTTGCTGTTGTTATGCATGGCACCATGCTGTCAAAGATTAACAATACTATATACTGCATTGCGATAATGTGTGATTACATTTTCTTATTACAGAACATATTATTTAAGATGTCATTAGAGCTGGTAATTATATTTCTTCCCATAAAGGTGGTTAAAATTGCTTTCACTAATCTAAAAATATTTGTTCAAAGAATCTGAACCTTTTGTATTCCAAACTATGTACAGTCTCAATTAGTTCAGATTTTTTACGCTCTACAGTAATGATCAATGATTTTATTATTTAGTCAATTTTTTAAAATTTTATTGCAGAGGACTTCTGACAAATAATTTCTTACCTTAATTTTTTTATTTATTTCTAATGATAACTTATCGTTTGTATTATCTGGTTTAGCAGATCAATAATTGTTGTTTTTAATTTCAGTAGACTATTTTTTCTTTAACTCCTCTTACATGTAAACACTATGAAAAATTCATTTTTAATCTTTGAAGGTCAGTTCTACGTGGCTTACAAAATACTTCCAATAATATTTTAGCTAGCTCTCAGTGTACCTGCAGTGTAGTAATAATTATTCTGTGGTGATTATATTTGTGATATAATAGTTTGTTGTCAAATACAGTGAAACCTCTATATAACATTTTTTAAGGGACCATGAATTCTGAAAATTGTGTAGAAGAAAATACTATACAGAGGAAGACTGTGTAGGTACCCTTTTGGTTGTGACTGGAAAAAATTGATGTAACATAAAGGAAAACATTATATAGAGGAGAGTTATAAAGAAGTTTCACTGTATTTGGATTGTAGATCTGAGCATATTTCAATGCTTTGTAGCTAATGCAGTAGCTATTGCAAAGTGAAGAAAGATTGCTTTAAAATTTAATTTAACAATATTGTATAAGCTTGTAGATCATTTTGGTCTTAATAAATGAGAATAATTTGCATAAGGTGAATCTACAAATTAAGATATTGTCAAATGATTCAGTTTTTAGTTTTGCTATTCATTGCTGAGAAATATATACATTAATAATTTCAGTTTTCTTTGAAGCTCTCTTGCTATATAATTTTGAAAAAGAATATGTACAAGTACATGTTCTTTATTACTGTATGTTTTCACAGTTTCTTTGTTTATAAGCTTTGACAGAAGCAGTGTTTTCACTGTAGTATTATGGAACAAGGATAAAATTCACTTTCATATGGGCTTTCAGCTTCCATCGTTGTCTCAGATCTTAAATTGTGGTGTAAACAAATATGTATCTGAACCGTTCTTTCATTGTTATGTTGTTTCCTTTGTTTTCATGTGTAACTTTATGTAAGCCGACCTGTGACAAATATTTTCAATACCAAAGCTGTTAAATTTTATTGTTTTGTATGTAATGGAAACATACAATGAAATAAACAATTTTTGTACTATTTTTTATATTTAAACGAGTAGGATGAATATTGAAACTTGGAATATAAGGTGCAATTCTTTCATTGCATGTCCTGAACAATTGCACCACCACACATTTACTCTGACCTTTACGTAAAGATGAAAAGGAACATTCTATATCAAGTGAAAGTGAAAAAATGAGCACAGGAACTCAAACAGGAAAATCTGGAAAAGAGATGGCATTGTGATCAGAGAAAGAGTAGTTATTGTTTTGAGGACAATTTTTATTCTTTGAGTGAAAGAAACTGGGTCTCATCAATTGAAAACAATACTTGGTCATGTGTTCTGCAACCATTGACAACTCTCAACAGAAGAGGAGTTGTAACATTGATAAAATTCAAAAAGGGTATCATTTACCCAGAATGAATGATTAAAAATGTAATATATCATGAAATATTTTTCACCATAAGACTCACTTGTGAAAATAATATAAGCTAAATGTTCATTTTGTTAAAGGGTAAATTAAGGATTAATTTGTTTGTGTGATTTTAAATATTGAGAGTTATGATTTACAAAACCTTGTATATAGTAGAAGTAGATACAGAAATCATTAATGTGACAAGACAAAGAAAATAGTAGTGCTACAGAAAGCCATAGACTTTCTCATACTAGTTAGTTTTCTAATGCCTTCAATCCGCTTCTTTTTGTCCAGTTGCTTTTATTGCCTAATGGGAGTACTGAAATATTTCTTTATGAATATCATAGAAGAGAAAAAACTCATCTTATATGGAAATTTTTGCTGAAAACTTTGGAGCCATTTTTACGAAAATGTTGTTTAAATATTACTGTGAATGCAGAATTTAAGGTGCTTTTTCATGGAAACATTTGTTTCCAAAAAACTTCATTAGAAGTCGTTTGAAGCGCTTCAACTCACAAATACAATAATATATACAAATCACTGTAAATGAGCATACTAATGAAGTGAGAAATATTTTTAAAAAACTTGCATTTGTGTAATTTTTGAAAGAAAAAAAAAATAATACAGCAAAATGTTGTTTATGTCATCTGTTACAGCAGATTTACAACTATCCCTACCAAAAATTAAAAGAAAAAAATGGAGCCGTTTTTGAGAAATTTTGGTTTTGGATATTTTTTAATCTTGTTCATATTTCACTCAATATTGTGCGAAAAATTCTCAAATTATCAAGAAAATGTACATGACTTTAATGAAAGAATAATTAAGGAAAACAATTTTTATTTGAAGGAAACAACTCTATCTTCTATTTTGTAATTATAGGAAGATGCTGAAAAAGTTTTAATCTTTTGCAAATTTTCAAATATTCAGAGTTTAACAGTGAAAATTGGACCTATGCCACCTTTATTACTGTATTTCACTGTACTCTTACAGGAAATTTAAAGGATGAATTCAGTCATTTTTGAGAAAATTTTGAAAATGTTGCAGGGGTTTCGTGTAAAGGAACTCATTAATGAATGTTTTTCAAAACCACTGAGCTTTGAGGCAAGATCAACAGGATTTTATTCAGTTTAGAAAATATCCTACACTTTGTTTAGGCACTCATGTTTTTCAAAGATGACAAACGGACCTTGGGGGGGGGGGTGACAGCTTTGGAGTATCAGGGGACACCAAAAAATGTATTTCTGTAGAAATTTGAAAATCGGTATTCCGCAGTATTACATTACTTTCTCTATACTACATATATTACTCTGTGTATACGTACATAGACGAGTAATTGAAAATCAACATACAAGTTGTCACTGACCAATATATTTCAAAGACAATTGAATAACTCTCTGCATATTTTTTCTTTCATTTTAATTTTGATTACAAATAATTCTTCATTTAACAATATTCACAGCGTTTCAGGATGAAATGTCTTCCCATCATCAAGTTACTATATTTGTTAACATAAAATTATAAAAATCAATTTACATTTACAAGAAATAATTCCCTAAAAATTCTACAAACTCTAAAATTGTAAATAAATTTGTATGCATTATAAATTTAAAAGCTCACCTCTCAGTAAAAAAATGTTACTATAAAAAGAATTATAAATGCTAATAATTATTAATATAAAAGAAAGTATATGCAGTGAGTTTTTCACTTGTCTTTGAAAATTGTTGCCCAGAGACAACATATGTATCAAGAAAATAAACAGACAAATATAAAATAAAAATTTGAAGACATCAAGCAGCATATGAGTTAACCCAGTAGTTTTTGGATATTTGATGATGAATCCCGGTGCTAATAGAGATGGAAAATTCACCTATTTTTGGTGTTTGAGGGAATTGTGGTACATTTCTCCACGTTCTGCTCTCCATATTAAAAATTTGTAGTTACCTTGAGGACAAAGCTGATTTCAGAAGAAAAAAAGGAATCGGAGACGAGAACAATGGGAATATGTAGTATTTCACTCTGCATAGGTTCGATGCCTAGTAGTGGAAATGCAAAGGGAGAATATTCTGTCAATTTGGAATAGATGCTTGCAACAAAATTTTCTTTCCGTTAATGACTAGAAGCATGTATTGACCTTTTGAAAGTTGTTTAGTATGTCACCTCTGCCTCCTGGAAGTGGACAGCATGATATGCAAATTTATGCCCTTCATATTTTATGAAGAGATGAGGGAAATCCTTCCCATTTTGTTGATCTCCACATCTTGTAATGAAAACCAATATTTATCCATAGTTTCCAAACCCGCAATTTTGTAATTTTACCAGGATTTCAGACAACATGATGTGTATATTTCATATTTCTGTTTCCTCTCTAGAGGCAAGTTCATTTCTTTTCGCTTCAAAAGTCTTTCATTCAATAAACAATAATAATAATAATAATAATAATAATAATAATAATAATAATAATAATAATAATAATAATATAAAAACACGTCAAGAGCCTTTTACCCAGAATTGGAGATTCTGATCAACATGTATTTAGCATCTTTTTTTAAATTTCATGCTAAAATATACAACTCTATAGAAAGAAGAAGTTCCACATGAACTGAGGAAGTGAAATTCTGATATTTCCAAGTATTTTTGCTGCAGTTGAAAGAAGCTAAGTTGCAGGGTGAAAAATCACAATTTTTTAATTTATTATCTATTAAAATCACAATTAATTTAGTTTATGTATTTTCTTCCTTTTGAATTCACTTTGAGGATTTGAAGTTGCTGATCAAGGAGTGGGATACAAAAACTCTATTCTCTTCAAGACTGAAGAAGAAAAATAAACAAAGAAGATTATACTTATGACCACAACAAACAAACAAACAAAAATTAAAAAAATGTTGATATTCAGTGTTTGTTATTTTATTTATGCTACATCTTCGGTCATGACTGGTTTGTGAGCTTGCAATTTAGTGAAGATTAAGGTCATAAGAAAGGAACGATATGCATTGAAGGATGTTGGACTTCACCATTTTCTTCTTAATCATTTTCATACAACATATGCACATATATCAGTGATTTTTCCTCCAATCAGCTATGCTAAATAAGTGGCATTTAATTTTTCAGTAAATTCATATTTCTATTTTATATTCTTTGTTATACAGAAAACCTTTCTTCTTCTTTTTTTTCTCTTAACTTAATAATTAAATTCATATTAAAGAAGGAAATGGATTGTATGAAAGGTGTATGATGTTTAACAGTATTTTGACAAAGTTAAAACAGTGCTAGAATATACAATAAATGTTTTAATGATGTACAAAATTATCTCCTACACTGAATTAAAGGAGAGAGTTACTGAGTATGTTAGATGTACAAAACAATTATTTGCCCAATATTTTGATAGTAATTTTGATAATTTAATGTAATGCATGGGTATAATGCAATTTAAAATGCGACAGCTTTCAAAAATAATTGCACAATTTCTCAGCACAAAGCAGTTAGAAGGAACAATTAAAATAATCAGATCTTGCTTCTAATGATCTTTCGTCATTTGAAAGCTTCCTTCTATTTTGAATGTGCATTTACAAAATAGAAATTTTTCTTTGTTAATAAACAACTAAGACTAAATTCATTGAATACTTTTTCAGTGTATGAAACTGTGGACATCATGCCACACACAGCCACTAGCAGAAGCCGCATGGGGAAAGTGGCGAGAGGAATCTTAAGCTCTGAAAGTGCCTCTGGCTCAAGGAGAGGGAGAAAATTATCATGTTTGCGCCGCAGAAGAAAGGAAACAATGACTGAAGAAGAGAGAGAGCAATTGAGGACATATGAAAGGGAAAGGAAACGAGTGCAGAGAGCCAAGAAGGCTGCTCGAGTACAAGCCACCCAGTCATCATCGGCATTGTGGGGAACATCTTTTAGTTGGTCATAAGTAAATATAGTGGAAATTCATATGGAATGTGGAATTGGATATACATAATGGAAATTCAAACTCTTTGGAGTGGAGTATGTTTGTATGATGTTATCTTTGCAGATACAAACATAGATGAGCAGTTATATATGTCATGTATTTTCATTTTAATAACTGTGATATAATATCATGTATCTATTCTGTTAGTGGGAAGAGCAGACTATGTACTTTCAATTATTTCATAATTCTGTGTCTCAGAAATAAAAGCGTTGCATTTATTATATTTTCCCTTGATTATATTCTTCAAACATAACTGGTCTTCCAACATATCAAACTCTTTTCAGCACATCACTGTTAGCACAATGCCCCCATAGATCTCACTTATGCACAGAAATTTTTATTTTATTTATTTGGTGTTCATAACATACTACATTAGCACTTATAGAGATTGTAAAAATACTGTTAAGAGACATCAAAAGAGGATGATGGACCAAAGGATGACAACAGAAGCATAATACATTTTGTGCGATTAGGAACCTGAAAATTGTTTGACAGTGCTGAAGAGATATCAGACACACAGAGAAAAGCCAGAATTGCCAGAGACTGGGCAATGGCAGTTCTGACAAACGGCAATGTATTGGAAGTTCTTGGCCTCTTTTCGTTTTTTGGACATTAATCATAACTGAACTTCACATTTCTTTTCTCCACTTCATAAATAATTTTCTAACACCATCTTTCAGGAACATTTTAATATGCCACAGACTAAAATTGTCTAATCCAATTTCAGTTATCGTTGGTGACTTATTTTTGTGTAAAATTAATGACCCTTTATTATTAATTAATGACTATTATTCATAACTTTTTTCTGTTTTTGTTTTGGTGATCATTGTTCTGCAAATGGTATGGCTATATTTCCTGGTCTTGCCGTGGGTGAAGTTTTCAGATATGTCAGACTCACTGACTCCCCTTGGCCAACTGCCTCCATGATTTCAATGCTAAAATGCATAAACTTAGTGTCTAATGGAGCAGCTAGCTCAACTCAGTCTGACCATTTGTCCTTTATATCTGCATCCGAGCCATTAGGCAGTATCAAAGCTCAGCTTTACTCTGTACTTCTACAGATATTCTTGTATACCTACATCTCTTCAAATGAAATTGCGAAAGGAGCCACAAATTTTAGAGGATAGTTTGTCATAGGTGTGTTTAAAATTCAAAATGAGAAGCTCTTAACCAACTGCAATAATGCTGCCGTATGGACAGGTTAGCCAATGCCCAGAAACTCAATAAAAGTTTGTTTTCGGGACATCTGTTAATATAGACTAGCTGCACCCTTGCAAAAATCTCTGCACTTCGTAAATGATTATTTTAAAAGGGAAATCTATTTCATAGTAGAATCCTGCTTTGAACAGCCAACTGCTGAACTGTGTGTTCCAACATTATTGTCCTGTTACTATGCGAGAGAAACCATTCTAATATTACATTGAGATTAAATTGCAAAGAAAATAAAACAGATCCTTGAATTTTATTGTGAAGGATTATTTCTGTGTTT